ACTTGTTGTGGATAGTTGAGGCGGGTTGAGTTGTTTGGGGATACGTCACGGTTTGAATATTCGCTGGATACGTTGTGCCTGTCTGTGTTGGGTACGTTGTAGGATATATGACTTGTTGGGTTGTAGACGGATACGTTGTTGTCGGGTACGTAACTTGTTGAGTTGTAGTCGTAGAGGGGTACGTTGTAGTTGTGCCACTTGGTGTAAATCCGTTGTAGGTAGTAGTCGTTTGGCCATTCGTTGGGAACGTATACGTTACGGCTTGTCCGTTTTGGTTGACGTATTCCCTGTTTTCTAACGCGTCTTCGGACAACGGGCCATCATATACTGTGCTTGTATATGTGGAAGGATCGACCAAGTTGTCGCCATTTTTATCTGGACCTGGAAGTTGATTCTGGAAACTGGGTTCATTAGAGTTCGTCAACTGAGCAGATGCTTCAGCTAGAGAAAAAGCAAGTAACCAGAATATGATGGAGGTCTTCATGCTGAATCTAAAAATAACGTAATTTGATAATTTACTGCAGTAAGCAAAATACGTATGGGATTTCGGTCGATGGTTTACCGTATTTTATCTAAAGAGAGCTATTTGTGGCGACGTGTCGGATATAGTTTGCTAGCAAGAAAAAATGCACCATTTTCAAACCAGTGAAATTTACATAACAATAAAATAGGCGAGAAAAATCCCATTGATTTCATGCTGCAAAACCAAAAAAACAAAACGAACTTCCTTACATTTCGTTAAGTGCTCACCCTTGGGGTGACAACCATAAAACATTTACCGATAAAAAACGAAATAAATTTGTTGAGAGTAAGACTATCCCAGAACCAAAATGCGCGGTATACATACTTACAGATGCTGCAACCACCAACGATTTTTTTATGACTGAAACCAATTTTTAGGGAGACGTTGACTTTGGCACGAATCCATTGTTTCAGTTTACGGCCAATAACCGAGATCTTGAGAAGTAGGTAAAAAATCTGTCTTTCAACCAACAGTTCCCTCGAGAAAAAACCCTAATTATTGGTTATTAGATAGGCCAATCGATTTTTAGACCCTGACACCCAGACATCTCTTTCGTCGCAGTTATACGCAGACAAAATTGGGACTGGATTATCGATTTTGCGTACTTGGATTTTTTGAATTTGTGTAATGAATTAAATCCGAGACCTCCTACTCAGTAAACGAAAAAACATTTTTTAAATGTATTGCCAACCAAACAAAACCTTCCATTGTTTTCTTGGGAATGTAGGACCAAGCCTAAATGATTAAACAGGGTATAAAACTCTATAATTGATTCCGGCTCGACAGTTAACTGAGCTACTCTGCAAGGTAAGATCTTGAAAGACTTTTAATGAAACTGCAGTGTAATTGAAATTTGAACCGTGAAAATTATTCTGATGGGCTAGATTGTGCTAAATCCTTCATGGACAGTTTTGGTGCAGGAGGTTAAGAACTTTAGAACCATTTATTCTTAACAAAAAGAAGTACATTTTTTTGCAATTCCAGACCGAGATGATGAAGATCGCAGTAACAATCGCCGCTTGTATAGCCGTAGCCATAGCTGTTGATCTACGACAGTACCAACGACGAGAATACGTCAATGCGGACGGAACGCCGTTCACTGGTTTTCCAACTACGTCTGGATATACTGCTACTGGTGCGACCAACGGATACGTCGACCCTTACGCAGCGGCTGGTGGATATAATCCTTACGGTTCAACTGGTGGATATAATCCTTACGGTTACAACCCTTACAGTCCTTACGGATACAACCCTTACGATCCTTACGGTAATGGTGGAAAAAGTAAGGGAGGCAAGAGTAAAAAGCACGGAGGCAAAAGCGCATGGAAACATATGTATGGGGGAAAGAGCGCATGGAAACACGGAGGAAGGAGCCGTTACAATTTTTATCCACCACCACCACCTCCTATATTTGGTTGAAATAGCCAGAAGCATTCTTAACACGGTTGAGTCCAAAGATGTTGCTAGCTAATAAAATATTTTGATCCAATTATCTCTTTTTCTTATTTGAAACGAAAAACTTTCTTGGTGCTGTAGCTTGGTATTCAGAACAGTATTTCTCCAGTAATAGTGACCTCCCAGAAAAGATGCCGGCCCGGCTTTGGCCCCCCAACTTTCAAAATTTTTATCATTTTACGTAAAAAATTGTGTGGCCCCTGCTCGCCCCCCTCACCTGCTGTTTCCTAGAAATGCAACTGTAAAGAGTCACTGTTCATGCCTGCCAGTGGTTGCTAAGGCGTCAAAGACCAGGTGTGGCCGATGAGTTAAAGCAAACGTACCAATATTCCATCAGTTTATCATGTCCGAAGAACAGTTAGGTCACCTTTCTTGTATCATGGAATGAAGCGGCTTGATTGGACTGTACACTAGCGAATACAGCCAATCAGAGCCTCGACAGAAACATTAATAACAATATGGTCTTTTGTTTACAGAGTTTTTGTCGAGTATTCTGATTGGCTGTATTCACTAACGTACATTCTATCCGTGACTCAGAATGAATTTTAACTCAGTTAGGAAAAACTCCATGCTGATTGGATGAAAAAAATCCTTAACCAGTAGAATTTCAGTTTGGGCGAACTGGTTTTAATTTAAAATGAGATTTTACTAAGCTGGAGAGGTTTCATTTGCATTTAATCTACATCTAAACTTTTTTACTTTTTTTTATTTTCTTCTAAAGTGACCCTAACACCATAGCGATCACAGCTGTGAGTTGCATTCGGAACTCATGGCCACTTTCATTAATCGCAATCATACGCAACTGGTAATCGCTATGGTGCGAGGGCACCTTTATATTTGTAGATGTATATAGAACACGAGACAGCTAAAAACTACCAAACCACCCTCGACACCCTAGCGTGTCTGACGTCGCCACCCTGCAAATGGTTTTCGAATCACCTTTTCGAGACAAATATTACTTTTATGATTTAGATAAAAACAATGACTTTTTTTTTTTAATTTAATTTTTTCATTTCCAACATATCATAAGTCAGAAATTTCGTTTTTGGTTACTTTACACTCCAATATTACTTTTCATCCAGTTATACCTGAAAAATAAACAAATCCATCATTAGCACGAGGCATGTTTCCAGAGATCAAATGTCAAATCCAATGGTTATGGTCGCGGCCATTTTGAATCTCGTGTCTATGGAGGTCAACAGTTTGAAGTTTACGTCCACGGAGGTCAGCAAATTTTGCTTAAGTGTCTATGTAGCTCACCATTTTGATTAACAGGTCTTCAGAGATCGCCATTGTGACCCACATGGTTAAGATGGTCGACATTTGAATTTAAATGTCAGCGAAGGTCGCCATTTTGAATCATTTGTCGGTGAAGCTCCATTATGAATCACGATTTTAGATGCCAACAATTGCTATATATAGCTTGAATAGGCTGTGTATAGTACTTACAGTTTAAAAGTGGCTATGACTTCCATGATGTCCACCGAAATGAGATCCTCCGCCGTAATAGGGATTGGGGGGATACGGAGAATAGCCGTATGGAGATGGTGCAGCGTATGGAGATGGTGAGCCGTATGGAGACGGTGCGCCATAAGGAGACGGTGTAGGGTATGGGGTGTAGCCGTAAGGATTACCAGCACCGGTGTATGGGTCGGTTGGTGAGGTTGTTGGATAGCCGGTTGTTGCATAAGGATACGCTGTATACCCAGCCGTATATCCACCCGTTGTCGGATTGGTGGTTCCGTAATAGCCAGTAGTGGTCGGATACGTCGTTCCAGTGGTTGTCGTAGTAGTGGGTGGAAATCCGGTGTACGGTGTACCGTCGTAGTTAACGTATTCTCGATTACCATAATTAGTCGTTGCCGTTGCCGGATATGTGTAAGTTGGCTGAACGTAAGTTGGTTGCGTTGGGTAAGAATAGATCGCTTTGGCTTGGAATTCTTTGGCTGCTTCTGTTGAATTAGTTGTGGTGCCGTTGCTCAGTTTGGTTACTAGTTCTTTCAAATTCTCGGCCACCGCTGTAGCATTTTGCTGGGGAACGGGTACGGCATTGATGCAGGTGAAGCAACCCAAGAGAAAAGCACAGAACACCTTCATTTTGAGCTGAAAACAATTGGTCATCAGAAATGTAGACAATTTGGAAATATATGGAGGGAGAACGACGAGATAGGAATTCAGAATGCCAAAAGTACGAGGAAATACCAAAATTCGTGTCTTCAATGGTGATAGGCGAACATAAAACACAGCAATCTATAGCCTAACCATTCGGCCAACAATGCACAACACGTGCAGAGTAGGTCTATATCATTAACAATCTCATCGCATAGTCACGATGGCAAAAAAGGCAGATGCAACTGATGTACAGCAACAGGAATATCAAATGAATACAATTTTTGAAAAACGTCAATAGAGATCCAACAGTCCCTCTTTGAGATCTCAGGAACCGAAGAAAGGAAGGTGAATTTATGGATATTTTCAATAATAGCCTACAGAATAAACACTCTTACCCCAATCAGCTGGTCCTTTGAAGTGAACCACATCCTTGTTAGGAACGATTTAAATTGGTTCAAAGCACAATGGCCATTGTTTACATCGCGTGGGTAATCAGAGGCGGACTGTTTCGTGACTGAAGAAGGTTTGTCCATCCTCGGTCGTGAGAATCTGGACACTTGATAGTAAATGATTTGAATATATTTCTCTGATAATTTTTTTATTGGGAGTCGCAGTGGCTAAGTGAGTTCAGACAGTTTGAAATCGAATAAAGTAGGTTAGTGCCACTATCCTGGCAAAATTTCCCTCATTGCATACTGCATGGCGTTGTCCGTTTCATTAGCACATATGGTTCAGAAGAGTAGGACGTAAAAAATTTCATTTCGTTTCTGATCTATTTATAGATAATCAACGGTGAAATTGAGCTTGACATCTAACCTTGTTGCACGTTGTCATGGTTACGGCTATGTCCCTATGTAGGCTACATAAAGAGGTCCCATCCCTCTTTAAAATTCCCCTGGTCTGCTTCATTGGTAAAAAAAACAAAACCAACTTTACAACTGGTATTCCGCAACAACGCGGAAAGAAACAAGAAAGAGTCTAGTTGATCAAGACTATAAGAACTCTCCGATGGAGGAGAAAAGTTCGGTATTGTCCAAATTTCCCGCTCTTTTGAATTGTTGTTATTTACTATCATTTTAGTGAGTAATTTTCCACACCAATTTAGTGCCCCTCAAGTAAGAGTTGTGAAGTTCTATGGACATGTGAAACACAGACAAGGGGGAGAGGGTAAGTTGAAAAGAATTGTTTGTTCAATGTAAACATCAAAGCATTAGTCCGATGACAACGTCCGCGAAAAAATCGAGGCCATAATATGGCATATATTATATGTTGCAGTCTGATCGATGTAAATGATATGAATCATTCGGCAATCCTCGGCAGTTTCCGTAAAGCTGAAACTTTCAGAGCGAGCAAAACTTTCACGGTAGGCCGTTCGTAAAAATAGGAAGTGAGCGTTATTTCCTTCTTGTCTGGCTCACGTTAAAAGGCAACATTCCAGGGACAGAAAAAAGTGAAAGCACAATCCGGGGCTTTTCCAGTAGATATGTGATATAACAAAAAAAAAGAAAGAATGAATTTCTTAAAAATATTTTTAAATCAAATATAAGGAGGTTTACCAAAGTCTACCTGAAAACTAAAACAATTAAAATTTACGTGCGTGAAAATGGAAATTTGCTCTAGAGCAGTGGTTCCCAAGTTTCCCAACCTTTTTCAGCCTTCACACCTCTGAAGCAATGATTTAAACCTTTCACACCCCAAAATTTTATGTCCAGCATGTGATGACATGAGGTGCCCCCTTCCCATTTATCAGCTGGCTACACCCCTGAGACCCCAGTCCACACCCCCAAGGCTCTAGAGTTATGAGCTAGTCCAAATAAAAAATGGCAAAATCGGCTATAATCTAATCCCAGCCAACATGCTACTGGCATAATTCTTTTAGCGTTTTTCTTGTGCTTCGGTTTTGGTTGCAAATGAACGAAGAAATTTGTCCACATACTTACAGCTAATTTTAGGCAGCAATGGCTGGCTGACTGATGGCAGCAAGAGGAGGTGTTTGCTGGAATTGCTGTTGGTTACCATTTGGCTGCTGTGTAAATTGTGGTTGCCCTCCGAATTGTGGTTGGGTTGCGAATTGTGGTTGCTGGGTTCCAAATTGTGATTGTTGACCGAATTGTTGCTGTTGTTGTCCACCGAATGGAGGTCTGAATTGTTGTTGTCCACCAGCTTGCTGTTGTTGTTGTCCACTGAATGGAGGTCTGAATTGTTGTTGTCCGCCAGCTTGCTGTTGTTGCTGTCCACCGAATGGAGGTCTGAATTGTTGTTGTCCACCAGCTTGCTGCTGTGGCTGTCCACCGAATGGAGGTCTGAATTGTTGTTGTCCACCAGCTTGCTGTTGTTGTTGTCCACTGAATGGAGGTCTGAATTGTTGTTGTCCACCAGCTTGCTGTTGTTGGCCGAATTGTTGCCCACTGAATTGTGGTCGTTGGCTACCAAACTGTTGTGGCTGAGGTGCACCGATCTGTGGTCGTTGACCAAACTGCTGTTGAGTAAAGCTTGGGAATTGGGCCGAAGCAATAGACAGCCCAACAAGGGCAATGACTACAAAACTATTCATGGCAGCTGAAAAAGGGAGATTTAGATTGAGACATATTGAACAACTTAAACAGGATTTGTCCTATTTGCCGTATCAGGCCTATTTACGGCTTCTGGTTGCACATTGTAATTTCCGTCATATGTCTGTGGTCCCTGTTTTTTTTTATAGAAATGCTTATCCGTATATCTCGTAACTTTTGCAAAAGCTGCTGATAAAAACGCTTAGTTTCATTGAAACTGACAGACCCACACACGTGTGACTGAATTGCAAATCGATGTTGTCAGTGTCACAGATACACTTGCTTTTAATCCCTCTCATATCATATACTTTGTCGTCCTGTGTTATGCTTTCGATGAGCACTGAACTCGATACCCTTCTCAGTAAAAACTCTAACTATGCCACTCTACTGGTTTGTCATCTCTCTCAGAGAGTCTACATAGTCAGCAGTCATAGTCAATTTGTATTGAACACGGCTTGCGGGAATCGGAAATCTACGAAAGTACATATCGCCAAATCCATGCAAATGTATCGTTTTAAACCAGAAAAGAGCGAAGATGAAAACTCGATGCCTACTTACCCGTTTACGAAAATACCAGATATGCTGCCTTTTGTCGTATTCTTAACTTTTATAAGAAACTTTCTGCTAATAACTGAATGTCATTCTGCCCACGGGCGTCTGTAATGTTTGTTTGGGTATGTATTTCCAAAATGCGTGGGATTAATTAACCCAACACGTTACATGAAATGGATATTTTAAAAAATCCAGATGTCTTTTTTCTTAGTTTTGTTTGCTTTTTGAAATGCAATATGATGATTCAGCTAAAGTCAACAGTTGGTACGAAAAAGTTACTTAATACACAAAAGATAACAGAAAATTACCAAAGTTTATATCGGTAAAAATCGTTCTTGAATTTCTTTAGGGATTTGAGGGAAGAGTTGGGAGGCTGGCTGTAACATATACAGTAAAGATCCTCTCTGGATCTCTTAGCATCTAGATGAATTAAATTTTAAAGGCTGTTGAGGACAGAGTCGGGAAGGGGGTAAAACGATTAATGTGTTTACTCCACACTTTGACGTCTTCTTTTGGAATTCGGGGTTACACTAGTAATAGTATAACTTAATAAAACGCGAATAAATTGGAAGCATATTTGTCATTCGGATATTTTTATTTTATAATGGTATTACATATTCCTTTGGTGTATCAAACTGTCCCGGTTGTCCAGGTCCAAAGATTCCTTTAATGGGTCGCAGTTGATTACCCTGACTTGGAGGAGATGTTGACAGTCCAGGTTGCGTTGGCTGTGATGGGAACCCTGTCTGTGGTTGTGGTTGTTGAAACGGATTATTTGTAGGAAACTGCGACTGCTGCTGCGTCTGAAGTTGTGGTTGAGTGAAGGGATTGGTGTTTTGAAACGATTGTTGGGGTGGAAGCTGGTTCACTTGGGCAGGTGTGTTACGAAAAGGTGATGGACCAAATGGTTGATTGCTCGCAGTTGGAAACAAGAATTGCGGCGGTGCGACTGGCCCCTGGTTTACACCAAATCCCTGATTGTTTTGGGGGAATCCGGAAAAGGGTGATACGTAAGATGAAAATTGCTGATTTCCTCCAAATTGTCCAAATCCTTCAAAAGGTCTGATTGGTTGCTGGTAGCCGATGCTCGCCGGTTGCTGTGGGAAACCAAAGGGACTTAAGCCAATCGTCTGTGGAAAGCTGGTGAATGCGTTTGACTGCGGACTATTGATGCTTGCAAATGGCGACAGCAATGTGTTGCTTGTATATACTGATGAACCGTAGTCAAATGATGGTGACGATACATCAGGCGTAGAAGGGAACCGGTTGCTTCCGAACGGTTGCTGGTAAGTATTACTAGAGGATGGAGAATATCCATTGTCGAAGTAAAATGACGACGGGCCTGGTTGGTTGTAGGTTGGTAGGGCCCCATATAAAAATCTGTCTTGAGCATTAACAGTAGATGCCAAGGCAATGGCTATCATCAAAACAAGGTTTCTCATTTTGTCGAGACTCTGAAAGACAAAGATTGTGTTATCGTGACTGCGATGTCTGGTGGTATTGCTTGTGGACGAGATGCCAGGTAGGCCAGTTCTTAGTTCTGCGTCGAATACAGAACAAGATTGGTGTTACTGATGTTTCTTTGGTACTAGTAAGTATGGAAGTTAGAAAATGTCGAGAGGAACAGAAAATGAGTCAATCCCGATCTATTTTTAATACTGTGAAGATCTGGCAACAAATGGCCATAAGAACATTGGACAACAAATGCCTAGGGTTAAACCTAGGTAAGGACCCCTTTCATGGACAGCCAAGAGTAAGTCTGATTGTGAACCAAGACTGCTGTATCAGGGATTAAATTCAGCTTCCGCTATCCATATCCATAGAACAGCTTCACGTCTACTCCGATCCTAAGATTTCGATCTGTTCAACAGGATTGAAATTTATTCTCAAAAGCTACCGCAATTCGCACAGGCTTATATTCTTTGTCGTATTTTTGATGTTTAATGGGATATGAGATTTTAATAAAGCTTACCTTGTGCCGTGTCGATATGATACAGTCTAAAGAATTAATTAGGAGATCTAACGCCACGTTTAAAATGGCAAGTCTCTAAGAAGACTGTACACGACCCACCAGATGGTCATTTTTCGACAAAAAAAAAGTTTTTAACTGTGACTTATTTGAAGGCACGGTTTTGACACTTTTTTTTATAATGATTAGGATAAAAAAGTTTCCGTTATTATACCGTCAATGATCAAACTGGTCCCCTAGAACTAGCAAGAAGTATCTTTTGGATCGAGTAACAACAGCAAACGTCCTTTGAAAATTAAAAGAGATATTACAGAACATCCGTTTGATTTTTCAACTTATTAGTGAAGCACAAGGACCGTCCTAAAGCTCTATATTTTCAAGAAGTCAGAAAAGACACGTCTGCTCCCGGACAAGCTCAAAGCATGTACAATTGGTCGAAAGAAGTTGGGATTCAAAACTGGATTCTTCTGTTTTGGTATGTTGACTCATCAAGAATATCTGATGCACCCTCGGCATCTGTTCCGGAGGATTCGCAAAACCAAGAATCTTGTACACTTCGAGATATCACCAATGATTGATATGATTTTTAATCAATGGAAACTAAATTATCATGTTCTTAAGATCAGTCTGTAGCAATTCCATCAGTTTACCACTCTTCCATTGTCATTTTGTAACTATGCCCTGTATCTCCAAACGCAAACCCAGACTCAGAAATCCGTGCCTTAACGCTAACAAAAGAACAACTAACAATTTTTCAATTTATTTATTTATTTAAAACCCAGATGTCTTGGACATATTCTGCCATGGATCCAGCACAATTCAATGGAAGTCTGAAATAAAATTGAAACAAGGAAATTATGCTCCATTAGGCTTTGGAACAAAATTTTAGGCCTTGGCGTAACAGGGGTATCTTTGTGAAGCTGAAGTTCCAGGATCCCTGGTTTGAGCATTTATCGTGCAATAGAGGAAGACATCAGATGCCCTTTTCTACCCAACCCATTGCCAAAAAAGAAAACCCGAACAAAATACAACCCATTCGGAAATCTTCGTTCGTTTCCGTAAAGCTGAATCTGTTATCTTATTCGATAAACTGGCAATTTAGTTTTGAGCAATCTAAAAGAAGCCAGGGTTATACACAAACCAACAAGACATGTCAGCATACCAATAGTGATATTAACTAGCCAAGCACTACGCACAGCCACCCAATGACCTGGGATGTACCAAAAAAAGGATGTAGAAAAGTATACCAGTACCTTATCCCCCAAAGCTACTGGGACAGCTTCCAGAATTGTTACCAGTAAGGTACGTGGTACCGTCAGAGTTGTAGCCGTACTGGCAACCACCATCTGCAGTAACTATAAATTGGCTACCATCAGCAGCGGTCTGTCCATACTTATTTCCAAGACTATCGTAAGTGTAGATATCGCCATTAGGGTTTTTGTAGTATGTAACTCCGTTCAGGTCATACGACTCCGTTCCGTCTGCGTATACGGTCATTTGCAGGTTGTTACTGTCGGTGTAGTAGAAAGTTCCATCTGGGTTGAGATACATGGTTTTGCCATTCTCGATTTTGTATTCTCTTCCGTCGCTCCCCCTGTAGTACGTAACTCCGTCGTTTGGATTAACGTAAGACGTAATACCATCTGTCCCGGTTGTGTATGTAACACCATTGGAAACGTAGTAAGTTGATCCGTCTGGGTTCATGTAGCGCACTAATCCGTCATTTGGGTCAACGTAAGATGTTCTTCCAGATGTATCCGTTGTGTATTCGATTCCGTTAGAAACGTAAGAAGTCGATCCGTCGGGATTGTTGTAATGCGTCAAACCATCGTTTGGGTCAACATAAGATGTAACACCATCCGGCGCGGTTGAGTATTGTATACCATTGGAAGTGTAGTAGGAAGAACCGTCGGGATTACGATAATGGGTGACTCCGTCGGTCGGATCAATATACGACGTTACGCCATCCGTTCCAGTTGTATATTTGATACCGTCAGAAGTGTAATAAGACGATCCGTCGGGGTTTAGGTAATGTGTTAATCCGTCGTTGGGATCAACGAAAGACGTAACACCATCCGTTCCAGTTGTATATTGAATTCCGTTTACGGTATAGTAAGAGGTACCATCTGGGTTTCTGAAATGAGTAACGCCATTTTGATCAACGAATGAAGATGGTTGTGGATTAGGAACTGGCTGTTGTGGGGTTGTTGTTGGCTGTTGTGGGTTTGTCGTGGGATTAACTACGGGTTGTTGTGGGTTTATCACGGGCTGCTGTGGGTTAAAGCCAGGTTGTTGTGGGTTGAAGCCGGGTTGTTGTGGGTTGAAGACTGGTTGTTGTGGGTTGAAGACCGGTTGTTGTGGGTTGAAGACTGGTTGTTGTGGGTTGAAGGTTGGTTGTTGTGGATTGACCACAGGTTGCTGTGGATTGAAAACGGGTTGTTGTGGGTTGAACGGTGTAGGTTGTTGTGGGTTTACTACGGGTTGTTGTGGGTTGAACGTTGTAGGTTGTTGTGGGTTGAAGACTGGTTGTTGAGGGATGACTACGGGTTGTTGAGGATTGAACGTCGTTGGTTGTTGCGGGTTGAATGTCGTTGGCTGTTGGTTAGGAGTTGGTTGCCCTATTGTGCCTGGTTGTTGTGGGTTGAACCCAATTTGTTGTTGATTGGGAATTGGTTGCCCGATGGTGTTTGGTTGTTGGGGATTGAAAACTCCTTGCTGGTTTGGAAATCCGTTCACTACAGGTTGACGTAAGATCTGTTGTTGCCCAATGATTTGTTGCTGCTGAGGGACAAATTGTCCAAATTGCTGCTGTTGGATACCAGGGAAGGTCTGGAGAGTCCCAGGGCGTTGTCCGATAAGCTGCCCATTTACTGCAATCTGCTGCTGGCCAGGGAATGTTTGAAACTGTCCTACCTGTGGAAATCGATTTTGAATAAGTTGCTGTTGAGCTCCAGATGGAAATGCAGTCTGTCCATTAGGTAGTCGAACGCCTGTGGGTAGTCCGTTGAAACCTTGCTGTGGGTTTGAAAAGACTGTTGGTCGGTTGATGATCGGTTGACCTGGCTGTCCAAAGAATGTTTGACCTCCATTGATTAACTGTGGAGCTCCATTTGGAATAAACTGCCCAGTTGGTGTCCTCAATTGAGGTCCACCAAAAACTTGTGTGGTGGGAAACCTTGTCGTCGGAAAATAGTTGGTTTGTTGCGTAGGAAAGCGTTGTTGCGGGAACGGAAATGTTTGAATTTGCCCAGGTAGTGCTCTCTTGGAATTTTCCACAGCACCATCTGTAGCATTAACTTTAGGTTCGTCTTCGGATTCTTGGATTGTAGATTTCAAATTTGCGAAGATGTCTTTGACATCACCATCATCTACCTGTTTAATGACCGCTGCTTGACATCTTGTCACTAACAATAATACCAACAAAATCCTCATTTTGGACTGAAAGATAAACATATGAAAAGTTAAGCTTGGTCGCTGTGTGGGGTGGAATTTGGCAGAATGGATGACAGGCCTATCGTCATACCCTTTTTGTAATGTTATTTTATGATCTCATTATTATTCAAACTGTTTTTGTTACAACCAAGGTCCAAAACCTTTAATTTGATCTCCACTTCTACTAGCTGGGTTTCGCCATTTTGGAACACCTTGTTCCAGTTTGCAGCTTTTAACTTTCTGTCGGAGAGTCAACACAGCTAATGATGTACCCAAGCCTACAGTCACTATCCAAGGATATCAAACGATAACCTCATAACAAAATGGAGTTATCCCCCTTTACTCTTTCATTAGGTGGAGATGGTCGTCGGCTGCAAAGTTTAAACGCGAACTGATCAAAATTGTTCAAAATTTTTTTGTATTGTGTCTCAATATTAAAAACTGTTAAAGTAGTGCTAAATCGATATGAAATAAGTTTAAGCCAACCATTTTTCTGGTCAATTTCAGATCAGAAAAAAAAATTAAACTTACCTTTGTGAATAAAAAGTAAAAGTGAACCATCAAAATCCTGCGATCACCTATGATGAGAACACACCAGCCCGTTACTCCACCACGACGATAATTCCACCATGTCTAATTAAAAACGACACATGGTGGTAATACAATGACGAAAGTGGGACGTGGTGAAAGATAGTTTTTGTGCCCCTGGCGGACACATTTGGTGTACTTTTGGAGTGGTCTATGCATATGTTGTATTTGTTTCGTGGATAATGAACTATCTGTAAGCAGATCTGATATAAAGACTGAAAAATGCCCACATGATGAACAACCAGTTCACCTGTACCGGAACTCTTGAGAGCCGGGGTGGTTTATTGAGTTAGACGCTTGCTCACTAATACATTCGGATTTTTAAACCCGGTTTCTCCCTATCACGCAAGTCCAGGGGCTGACGTTGGACAATAAACCGAAGCCGAAGCCCCGTGTGCTACGGGTTATGCTCGTGAAAGATCCCCTGACAACATCAGCCCAATTAGGACGTAAAACTTTCAATTCATTTCTCTTTTGTACCGGAACTTCTTGTAAAGTGCTTGGGAAACAACGACTTTTAGACAGGTTCGTGACAGACCTCGTTGTTCCCAAAGCAGTTCCGGTACCACACTTGTGTCCGAATATAAGAAAGAGTTTTGGATGTTTGACAATGCATCACTGACTTATTAGCTTGACACTTTATCAAATTCAACAATGGATTGATACCTTGAGCATGGAGCTCGGTCATAGCGTCGTCACAGAAGAGCCTTTGAAATTTAAAATTAGATTGCCATTACACCGCGCACAAATTCTCAAAGTATCATCTTTCTTTTCTTGGCACTATGTCGTTATTCTATGATCAGAATGTATTGAATGTTACTGCAACAAGCTCTCATTTCCCAAAACCTGTGCTATTAGAACATGGTGGCCTTAAGAAGACTCTCTGGATCACCAGAAAGCGGCAAAAAAAGAAGCTATTTGAACCACCATCTATTTATTTGAATGATTACATTGGCAAAAGACGTAACAGTCAAAACCATCAAATTCTTTTTGGTTTCAATTAACCCGCATAGTAATATCGTTGTTGGTTCGTACGAGCAGTGGTGTAGGATGTTTGCGGAGATCTGGCTTGCGTGTACGTTGGTTGCGTTCCTGTAGTCTGAGCATACGTTGACTGGTATGTTGGGGTACGATTGGTTGGTGCGTATACATTGCTGTATGTTGGTCTACTTGCTTGTTGTTGGTAGTACTGGGTTGGTCTTGCCTGCTGTTGGTAGTATTGGGTTTGTGGTCGGCTGTATTGTGTTTGTTGCGTCTGTGGTCGGCTGTACTGGGTCTGCGGTCTGCTATACTGGGTTTGTTGCGTTTGTGGTCGACTGTATTGGACCTGTAGTTGACTGTACTGGGTTTGTTGAGTCTGTGGTCGGCTATACTGGCTGTATTGCGTTTGTGGTCGACTGTACTGACTGTATTGCGTTTGTGGTCGATTGTATTGCGTTTGCTGTTGACCGAATTGCGTTTGTTGTGGACGGTTGTATTGGATTTGCTGCGATTGCGGTCGAATGTATTGGGTTGGTGTAGCCTGTTGTTGATAATATTGGGCTTGTTGCGTCTGTGGTCGGTTGTATTGTGTTTGTTGCGTCTGTGGTCGGTTGAATTGGGTTTGCTGCGTCTGTGGTCGGCTGAATTGGGCTTGCTGTGTCTGTGGTCGATTGAATTGGCTTTGTTGAGTCTGGTCGTACTGATATGGTCTTGCTTGTTGGTAATATTGGTTTTGTGGTTGTCTGTATTGAGATGTCTGGGCTTGCTGGTAGTATCTGTTTGGTTGTTGCTGATTTAGGCCATAGTTTGCTTGGTTTACGCCAGCGTAGTTAGTATATTGAGGCCTTTGAGCTATGGTTGCAGCATCGAGACTTGGTGAAGAAGCTCTCACTTTCGCGTACATGTCTGTTAAGGCATTTGCAGCAGAAGCCTTATCTACGGTAGTTGTTGGAGTACCAGCCTTAGGTGTGAGGGATTTGGTAGAGACGGATTTTCTGGATTTTGTACTTGGTTCAGAAGCTGCTGGGGTAGACGATCTTGTGAGTGGTACTGAAGTCGGCTCGCTAGTTCGAGTAAGTGGAACGGACACTTTTGGTGTACTCGATCTGGTAAGCGGAACAGAAGCTGTTGGGGTACTGGTTCTTGTAAGTGGAACGAAAACTTTGGGAGTACTCGTTCTGGTAAGCGGAGGGGAAGTTGTTGGTGTACTCGTTTTGGTAAGCGGAACGGCAGTTGTTGGTGTACTAGTTCTTTTAAGTGGAACGGAAGCTTTTGGTGTACTGGTCCTTGTAAGTGGAACGGAAGCTTTTGGCGTACTGGTTCGGGTAGCAGGAACAGACGCAGTTGGGGCGCTGACTCTTCGTAATGGAACTGTGACCTCTGGTGTTCTGGTTGGCGTTGCAGATTTTAATCGTTGAAGCATAGACGTCAGGCTTGATGCTGTGTCAGTTTTGGTGGTATCGACAGTCGGTGGTGCGGCCACTGGTTTCGGCTCCGGAACTGCATTGGTTGGTGTGGACGCAGTGTTTAAACGTTTGAACATATCAGAAAGACTGTTTGCTGCTTCGGCTTTATTGTCATTCTCTGGAGGTGGAATGGGGACGGGAGCAGGTGCTCGGTTTTGAAGCCGGCTCATCATGGCAGCTAACCCTGAAGCGGCATTAGTGTTGGTGGGTGCTGGGTCCACGGCTAAAGAGCTTGTCAAGCTGACAAGGATGAAGAGAAGGACCATCATGGTGGATTCTGAAATGGAAGATATTACTGGATCATTGAATATGATTGGAACGAGTCAACGGGAAAGTGATTCTTCAAGAATTTGATAATTCACTTTTTTGGAAGCTGAAAGAATGGAAGACTAAATGTCGATTATAATACGAGAGGGAAACGATTCAATTAAGACATTCTCAAAATAGAAAAAGCAGTGCAGTCAACAACTAAAACAAAAAAATATTTCCTATAGTGACCCAATTCAGTTCATTAACATAAACATAAAAGGTCGCCAACTAGTATCATAAGATTTAAAAAAAAATCGAAAAAAATAATACGAAGAAAGCTAATCCTACCTTAGTCTCTACAATGAACTGTATCTGATAATTCCAAGTCGTTAAAAAATCTCATAGAAAAAAATCAATAAGGAGGTTTGGTAAGAAGACGTAATGAAAAACTTCGCCTTGGTGTTGATTTTTTTAATTATGGGACATAAACAGATGTCCGATCACAGACGTTTATTTGTAATGTTCTCAGGATGGGTGGGGAATTGATTCAGATTGTTCTAGTTCCCAGCTTCTGCCTATTAGGCGTAGGTTGGAGCTCTAACGTTCGTTTTCTTCACAACTTGGGATTAATTCTAATTTTTAGAAATCTGACCGTTTGAAATTATTTCATGTAAGCATATGATTATCTTACAGTTGCGTTATTTCTGAAAATAAGCCTCCTTTAAATTGCTGGGTAAAAATCATTTGGGCTCCATCGTTGGTTAATAGCATTTTGATGGATGTCGCCAGTCATGAAGGCATGCCCTAACGGAACATAGCCAGATTGTGACTCGATTTGTCAAGTTCTTATTGAAAAGCGTCATCACAATAGTGTTTAAGAACTACGTCTTAGTCTTAGTTCGTATTAGCTGGACATTGTGACGATGAATGAATGGATGCTTTTCGCTCAAACGCTGAAAGGCTGTCGCAAACGATATATTGAGCTCTTGTGATCTTGAGCGACTAGTGCCAGTATGTCTTCCTACTAAGGCTATAAGACCATTCAGATATCACAAACCATGCGGCTTATAAGATTTCTGTTGCGACTTTGCTTGATAACCATTATGCTGTTGTAATGCAGAGTCATTTGGGGCCTTTTCCACACGCCTGTCGTGGTTTCCATTGTAATGTACAGCCATTTGTTTCTTAGAAACTCTAACGACTACAGCATTATCATGTCTGACCTTTTACGACTTCGTAAGTATTAGGGACAGGTGCGACATCGCAATACAATCACCTTGCGATTTCGCGTGTCTGGTTATAGGTCAGAGGCAATGAAGTTAAAACGTAATGGATACTTATATTATTTTTTTATTTTTTGAAAATTAACCAGAGAAGGTTGCAGGACAGCTTCCTACGTTGGTCACCAAATTGGTTCCGCCGTTTACGTCAACGTTGTATCTGCATCCGTTGCGGTCAATGATATATTGGCTACCGTCGTTGTTCTGACCATAAATGTTGCCAACATTATCCGTAGTGTACTGGCTTCCGTCATTCGGATTGAAATATACTGTTGTTCCGTTCTGGGTGTAGCTTTCTATTCCGTTTTGGTCAACATTGATTACTGTACCGTTTGCGTCTGTGTAGTAGAAGGTTCCGTCGCCGTTAGAGTAGTAGGGTATATTATTGACAAGCTTGTATGTACGACCATCTGTACCAATGTAGTAAGTGATGTTGTCTGAAGGATTTACATAGGATACGGTTCCGTCTGGAGTTCTGACGTATGTAATTCCGTTCTGGACAAATCTTTCGTTTCCGTTGGCGTCCACGTCGATTCTTTGTCCATTGGATCCGATATAATACTTCTGACCAGTAGAGTCAATGGTGTACCGTATTCCGGTGGTTGGGTCAACGTACGATGTTGTTCCGTCTGCGTTTGCTGTATACGTAATTCCGTTTTGTACGTAATTTGTGGTACCATCAGCGTTTACTGTATAAGTAATTCCGTTTTGTACGTAACTTGTTGTCCCGTCTGCGTTAACTGTATAAGTAATTCCATTTTGTACGTAACTTGTTGTACCATCAGCATTAATTGTATAAGTGATTCCGTTTTGAACGTAAGTCTTCGAACCATCTACGTTTACATAAACCTTATTACCATTTGCGTCTTTGTAATGTTGTTGTTTGGTCTGTAAGTCAGTGTAGTAAGGAATACCGTTTACGTCTGCGACTTGATAACGCCGGCCGTCGTCTAAAGTTATAAAGGTGTTGCCGTTTGTGTCTACTGTGTACGGTCCTCCGTAACCTCCATAATTTGGGATGATTCGGTTGCCTTGGGCATCAGATGGATAGACGGTTCCGGAGCTAGAGTCTTGTAAGGATCCGCTGGACTGTACGACGTATTGCTTGTTTTCGGGATCAAGATAAAAAATACCGCTGTTAGTGGTAGTAGTCGTAGGCGTGCCGTACGGATTGTAAACTGGGGCTGTTGTTCCGTAAGGGTTGTAAGTCGGATACGTATTTGAACCGTAAGGGTTAAAGGTAGTTCCAGTTGTTCCATAGGTGTTGTAAGTTGGGGCAGTGTTGCCGTAGACTGGTTGCGTTGTACCGTATTGGTATGTGGTCGGAGAGCCATATTGGTAGGTAGGGTATTGTGGTACGCTTCCAAATGCATTATAGGTAGGGAAGACTGGTTGCTGAACGGGTGGATAATACGTAGTCGGATATGGATAAGCTTTCTTCATATTAGTGGGTGCCGTTGTGTTTTTGGTGTTGTTATCTATTGCGGCGAAGGGGTTTTCCACGGTAAAGACGGGCTTTTGCACATTCTCGGTTACTTGCCCAGCAGTCTTTCCCAGCTTGGCGAGGAGATCCTGCAGACTTGTGGAAACGTCAGCTCGATCATTCGTTGAGCTTGTTGCAGGTTCATCTTTAGCAAACTTGTTCTTCAACTGTTCCAGAGAAAGACCAGATACGGCAATGATGCCAATGGCGACGAAAACGAAGAGCGACTTCATGGTGGAATTTTGGACTGAAATGAGAAAAGAAGAGGACATTTTCGTTGATATCCTAACGTGAACACGCCTGTAATGTCGTGTAGAACTAAAAACCTCAGCTCCGGTCGCCTTCTGCTAGACGTTCCTGGAGTTTCGGTTACAACTGGTATTTTGATCAGATGTTAAAATGGTCAGACTATTGCTAAATTTTTACAAAATTTGACGAAGATTCCAATCCTGTCCAAAGATTCTCGCATCTGTGTCCTTTCATGAATAAGGTATCTGTTACACTGGTAAGACAGCTGTCTGAAAAGCTGACTGACCCAAATGCTGCCAACCTTCTGCAATTGTAGCATGTGTAAAGCCTAGGTACCCAAGGTAACAAATCACATATCAAAGAGAAAAAAGTCCAAAAGTGAGTAAATCAAAGGATGTGGGCACAAAAGAGGTGTATTACCTGCCCGAGATTATCAAGATAGAAAAAGAATGACGAAGCTATGTTACCTTACCTCTGTTCATTAGCCCTTGCGATAACCTCAAAGGATGACTATATAGCTACCAGCGCACCTTCCTCGTCTTCTGACAGGAGTTGTAGGATGGGCATCATCTTCGTTATACTCGCCTCTGCCTTTTTTAACAAATCGATAATGACCTACTCTTTTTTATTGATTTTTTGAAAGATAGCAATATGATATGTGCAAATAAAAAACAGTTGGACAAAATAAATTCAGAAACGTTTTCTAGAAAGTTCTTAAGTTGTCCATCGTTTTATCCAGATTGAAGATACGCGGAGATGAATCATTTTTAACCAGCAAAGAGGCATGCGTTATCAAGAAAAAGTCAGTGTTTTGAG